TTCAAACTTTGTGACATTTGGCCTGAGAGACTGCTCTCTAAAACTTGTTTCTCTCTTGGGGAGAGTGAAACCATTCCCTCTTTGATTTGCCCCACGAGGCAAAAATCCTCCTCAGTCTTCCTTTGCAGGCTTATCTTGTATCCTTGGGCTTCTAAAGAGTTCCATGCCAAGCCTTCTCTTCCTCTCTGAGGGCACCAACATCCACCGCTTCAGTTATTACCTATGAGATAATTTCCTCCAAATCCAATGTATCTCCAAGTCAAAAATACCAAATAAACTCAAGGACCCATATATTCCCTTAGTCAACAAGTATTTAATGAACACCTGCTATGTGTGAAGCCCAGTAACCGCTCATTCTCACCATTCAGATGTCCTAGAACTACTTCTCTATGTCCAAACACATTGAGAATCTTTCTTCCAGAAGGGCAATTCAATCTGGATTTCCTAGCTTGATAAATGATACCATTATCCACTTGGTCACCCAAGCCATAAACTTGGGATTCATCTGGAATGTCTTTCTCCTTCACTACCCCCCCATAACCTCCATCAGTGATGGTGCCCACATCCAGTTAGTCAAAAAATTCTAAGCATTAGATCCTCTGAAGAGCTCAGATCTGCCTTCTTCTACAGCCCCTTGGCCACTGTTTGAATTTAGGCCTTCATCACTGGCTCATTTTAGTCTTCTCTGATACAGTCTTCACACTACTAGCATCAGACCTTTGTGATGTGCAAATTTCACCATTAATTTCTCTCCCTAAAGCACTTCATGGTTTTTTTTTTTTTTATATTTCATTTATTTTTTTTTTGACAGCGAGAGAGAGAACACAAGCAGGAGGAGTGGGAGAGGGAGAAGCAGGCTTCCCACGGAGCAGGGAGCCTGATGCGGGGCTCGATCTCAGGACCCTTGGATCATGACCTGAGCCAAAGGCAGACGTTTAAGGACTGAGGCACCCAGGCGTCCCACACTTCATGGTTCTGAAACACCTTCAGAATTAGGGTCAAGCTCCTTAGCTGGGCCATGGCACTGTTCTGTACCTGGTCCTTGCCCTATCTCCTGTGTAACCTGCTCTTGGTCCATAGTAACAAATTGCTGTTTCCCAGAGACCTCACATCCTTTGCTATCTCTGTACCTAAGTATATCTGCTTGAGAAATCCTTTATCTTCCCCCTACACTACCATTTCTATTTTAAATGCCACACAGCCGGATGGATGAGCATCAGAACTTTGGGGCCAAGAAAACCTGATGTCTAATACTGAACAAGTTGCTTTTCTTCTTTTTGCCTCAATTTTGTCATTAGGGTTCTTGTGAGAATCAAATTAGGTATTTATTGAATAACTGAATGAATTATGTATTCATTTAGTGCCTACTGGCTGCCAGGCTCCATTCTAGGAGCTGCAGAGATAGCAGTGAACAAAACAGTTGGAGCTCCTACCCTAAAGGATCTTATATTCTGTCTTGCACACACGGAGTGAACAAAAAAGGTTATAATTATTACTCATTAGGCTTAGGTGGTACTTCCTCAGGGGAACTTTTCAGACCCACTTCCTAATTTCCTTTCTGAATTAGGTGCTCATCTTCTGTAGGCCTGTATCACCCAATATGGTGCTATTATTACAGCATTATTGTTGTATCATAACTGCTGGTATTTTTATCTTGCTCACTACAACCCTATGAGTTCCTCGAGGACCGAGCCTGGGACTTCTTTTCTTATCGTACCAGTTTCTAATACACAAGAGTATGCCTTACATGTTGTTTTAAAATAACATTTACTACTACAGAGCATTTGTCTTATGCCGGACACTATGTTAACTGCCTTAAATATATTCTATAAATTAATCTCCACAGCAACCGTATGAAACCAATACCATTACACCTACTTTCTAGGTGAGGAAAATGAAGAAACCAGATCTTGAAGGTGCAAAGCAACTTGCTAAGGTCACACAGCCGGCGTGTAGTGAAACCAAGCAGGGGACCCCGGTCTGCCTGGCTCCAGAGCCCCAATTTTAATCATGATGCTTGATGAGAGGAGCCATTTCTCCATAGGGCAGTTGGAGATGTATGGTCTGCATATAATTTCTTTTAGAAACACCTATGTACATAAGACAAAACCTTAATCCAGAGTCAGATGTTCGTAGATGCTTTAGCATAGTTATTTTTTCTATAATTGATCTATGTGACTGTCCTCACACTGTCCTGAGAGGTGGGGAAACAAATGGTTTTAAACTTGCCAATTCTTAGAATTATAGCCTCTTGCAATTTCGACTGTCTTTGAATAGCTCCAATTCTTGGGTGATTGTTCAATTTTTTAGACATCCTTCCCTCTCCCTAACCCTTCTGCCTAGCCATACCAAGCCACTGATTTTAGTCTTTATGGTGCTGGGGCTTACCTTGCCCAATTGGGGAGGGAGGTGGTGGGAAGAGACTCCTTGAGGTGGTTATTTCTCAGAGTCTCAAATGGGGCCAAAGTAAGGCCCTAAGGCTGAGAACAAAGCCAAACTTCTCTAATATCTCTCTTTGGAGACCTGCTTTTTCCACCTTTCATCTCCTTCCCACACTCAATCGGATTTGGAAGGAGTAGACTCTTTCCTCCACCTTCCTGCCTTTTCTGCACTTTCCCTGTGTCCTGCATCCTCCTTCCCAAAGTGAAATTTGCCCTCTCCTTTTCCCTAGGGCTAAACAGGAGAATGGTTGCCAGCCTACTTGATGTATGGGGAAAAGAATGAAAACACATCTGTTTAGCATTTTCAAATTATTACCCCGGTTACCCCAGTGTCTCAGAGGGTAATCACCGGTCTCTGGAGCTCTCTGGGTCCCTTGATAGTAACGTGACTCACAGCAGTCTTAGAGGAAGATTTACAGGGACTCTTAGATACCTCTTTCACCTGACTCACTACCCCTCCCCTCAACCCAAATTCTTGGCCATAGTCCTCTCCTTCATGAGCAGCGTAGAAACAGTGGGAGTATTATCTCCACAAAATAAGTTGATATAGCCAATGAGCTATACATTCAAATTCTGACAAATTTAGTCCCCATGATAACACCAGTTATGTTATATATATTACTTAAGTATAAGATCATGGAGAAGTAAGCGGTACTAAAGAACCCAAAATGAGAGGATGTACTCTGAAAACAAATACTTGATTTGTAGACTGCGCTTTTTATCTTCAGACTATCCCCAGAGAAAGGGGAAGCTTTTGTGAAAGGGAACAAATTAGTAAGGAAATTGACAACCATGGAGGTCAGTAACAGAAATAGTAAGAGGAACTGTAGGTCTTCATAGTGATAACTACACTCTCAAGCCTCTTTAGTTCAGTGTGCAGTTTATCTTTTACTTATATTTATCTCTGTATCTTGCAAGTCTTAGGTCCAAAGTAGATCTTTACCGTATGAGGGGGGAAAAAATCTCATGTAAGCTGAGATACGGATAAAAAAAATCAACTTGTATACTGTAAGTCCACTGGAAAGGCAGAAAAATAAAATTATTAAGATGCCTAAAAAAAGAACATAAAATAGGAAAAAGAAAAAGGCCCCCTTGTTTGAGATTATCATTACCATTTGGGTTGTGAACTATTTGATTCTAATTCTAGAAGCTTGATGCCAGAAATAACTTATTACCAGGGAGATAGGCTGGAGAATTGTCAGGATGACAGGGTTGCTTTTTTGTTTTTTGTTTTTTGAATATCTATACCACAAAATGATAAAGCTGATAAACCACACAGTAAAGTGAAGGGATGAGCCATATAGCCTTGTACTTTCTGCTACATATATGAACGCTGTCCTTTATACCCCAGTTCTTCCTTTCTCACCCCACAAAAGGTCAGAGGCCACTTTTGATAAGCAGAGAATGCTTTAAACTCTCTTCTCTCTGGAGGAAAGTAATGGATGCATCTGGGGTCTGTTGAGAGTTTATAATCTAATCCATCGACTTTGCCTGGTACTAGCAATTCTGTTCACAGCTCTTTTCACAGTGGTCATGTTGAGAGTGTACATAAAGTACTTGATTCTTGATCTATATTTATGAGCTCACATTAAATATAGATCAGTACTGTCCAATCACATTGAAAACGTGTCATTTTGATGTTCCAGTTCACCACTTCCTAGCTCTGTGACTTTGAGCAAGTTACTTAATCTCACCACTTTACTCATTTTAAAACAGGGATGATGCTAACCGTACCTGTCTCATGGCCAGTGTATTTGAAAACTACACTGCAGTGATACAGAACAGCTAGAATGTTGAGAGCTTCCAAATACTGAATTGAGTGTTGACTCGTTTAATTCAAATGAAAATAAAATAAACAAGGAGTTAATTATCTGTATCAAGAGGCAGTTTAAGAATTTGAATTGGGGAGCCTTGGGTAACCATCATGTTCTAAAATGGTGGCTATTTAAAAAAAAAAAAACCCTTTGAGGATTCTTTTCTGCAGAAAAATCTCTTCATTTGCAATCTTTAATCTTCACATTATTAAAGTAAAGGCTGCATTGATTAGAAGGAAATATAGCTTCCTCTTAGGTTTTCAGGTTTGGGGCTACTTTTGGGGAGGAGGTTGGATATCTGAACCCCCTTAGTCTGGTACATTTTCTGGAGCAGGCCACCAGATCTTTGTATATCTTTTTGCGACCAGACTGAGTTTAATTTGAATGCTCTAAGAACTTGGTGTTGAAGGAGTTAAAGGGTCTCCCACACCCCTCTGCCTGAATCGTTCTTTTGTGTACACAGCTGCAGTCGGAGCGCGGGTCGGAAAGGAAATGGTTAGAGGAAGAGCTGGTTTTCAGACTAGGCGAGTCTGTGAGGGGGGCTGGGGGTGGCCTGGGGTTTTACATGCCAGATGTAGGCCTGCCCCGGTGCCTGCCTGGAGCTGCTCGCGTGGTCACGCCTCGGCCCTGTGCGAATTGAGGAGAGGTGATGAGTTAGCGGGTTGCTATGGTGACGGGCCCGGCCACGTGACCCGGTGCTGCTGCCGGCGCTTTGACGTCAGCAGCCGGGAGGGCGGGACGCAAGAGGGCGGGGCGGGAGCCGAGCGGGGAGAAGGGAGCCAGCGAGCAGGCGGCAGGCAGGCACGGTCTGCGCGAGGAGCAGGCGAGCGGGAAGACGAGACGCAGCCACCTTCCTCACCAGCCAGCCCGCCGCGGTTTGTTCCCTTCCTCGGGAGTGCGCCAATGCCTGGTCCGACCCAAACCCTGTCCCCAAATGGCGAGAACAACAACGACATCATCCAGGATAACGGGACCATCATTCCTTTCCGGAAGCACACAGTGCGCGGGGAGCGTTCCTACAGGTAATGGGGCTGGCACCGGGAGCGGCGCCGGGCGGGGGAGCTCGGCGGGGGCGCGCGGAAATCCGGCCCGTTATATAATGGAGCGGACACTGCGCCCGGACCGGGCTGCAGACGTGCGTTCGCCAGGGCGCTTGTGATCATTTGCTGTCTCTTTCCATGTGTCATGTTGGCTATGCATTGAGGCTTCACGAATGCAGATGGAGAGCATTTTGTGAATAGGTTTGCTGCCTGCGAGGGGTCTCCTTCCATCTCCTTCCTTCCACACTGATAAAAATGCAAGCAGTTTTTTTCCCCTCTCCAAAGGGAGACAGGCAGTAGCACTTCCTTTCCTCCTTTCCTTTAGATTTTAAAGGACCCATTGGATAGGCTGTGCCTAAAGGCAGGGAACAGGAGGATGGCGAGAAAAATGTTTGCGCTTGCCCTGGTGTGTGTGCAGGAAAGATGGAATCCTCTAGATTAAGCTGCAGTCTGTGATGTTAAACCGCCAGATTGATGGAGCTTTGTAAGAATTCTGCTCGCTGATTGGTGCAAGGATTGACAGCAGAGGTCACGGTGTCAGACATTCACCAAAATTTTCTCCATAGAACCCATGGTTTATTAGAAAGAGACTGGACTGCAGTGGACCTGAGGAAAACCCGGTGCCGTTATGCATTTTCTTAGGAGTTTATAGCCTCCGCATGGGTGGGGGAGCCCGCCCTTCTTTAAACAGTAGGAAGGTAATTCCTGCTATTTTGCCGAGGTCTGATTTGAGGATGGGACTGATCTTGGTCATTGTATTGTGAGCTTTATGATTAATGAGTCGGTCTCTGTGGTTGGCATCATTTTTACATTAGCATATCTGGCAATATGTTCTAGTAGATAAGCTCATTAAAATTGTTTGCATTGTTTGATAAGGATAACAATGTAATGGAGAATGCAGCTAGAGTCTAATGCAGCTCAAGGCCAGACTTGAAGGGAGACTGATAGCTTCCCTCATATTTCCTCTGAAGTTCTTTTGTACTGGGGTAGTTATTTTTAAATGCTACCTTGATAACCACTAACAATGCTTTTGCTTCGAGGCAGAGCACACATACCTCTAAAGCGCATCCTCTCTCAGCTAGTGAGCAACAGGAAATAACTCTTTTTTTTTTTTTTAATGCCTTCATCTAAATGTTCAGCTGGCATTGTGGGTAGAATATTCAGTGTGTGTAAATATGATATATTTGTAAAACAGGACCCAGAGTACCCCACTTCCTCTCTCTTCGACCAAAGAAACCCTATTTGCTGACTCAAAAAGAAAAATTTATAAGCAACCTTTGCCCTGTCGTCTCTGGCAGTTATATAAATACTTGGAGTTAATTTTGGCTGTGCCCATGAGGTCACCAAAATCTCATGCCTTATGATTCCAACTAATACATTGACATGGCATCCTTACAGAGTCCAAGTGCTTGTTATTCTCTTAATATAAACCAAAATTGGTCCACAACGTCTGGGACTCTTCTTTTGGAGATCCTTGTGATTGGAACACTAGGTCCCTTCTATTCCTTATTCATCCACCTTTCTTTGTGAACATTCCAAAGCCTGAAATAGAATTTAAAAACCAAAACCAAAACCCCGGAATTGTTTTTAAACCTCACTTATTTACACTGTTGGTATAGGTAATAAATTTGAAGCCCTCGTCTCTTCAGTGATTTAACCTCTGCCACATAAGTAGCAGTTGCTTTTAAGACGGAGTTCGAATTTTACCACATAGGCCAAAGGAAGTTGCCTAGTTGGGTTTTATTAGTCATATGAACAAACTTGAAATGGCAGTGGAAAATGACTTGGTAAGGTTAAATGCTACCTTTTGGTGACAAAATATTGCTTTAAAGTAAAAGCTTAGTTACCTTTTCAGTTCGATCTATTTTCATTTCCTAAATTATTTCCAGTTTGTTTTCTGAGGCCCTGAAATTACACGAAAGGAAAAAAACTGAACTTAAATAAAAGAACTGACTGGAGAAATTCTTAAGTCAGTAAGAGCATTATTGCATTTGTATTTTATGTAATAGGATTACTGGACACCATAGTGAGAGGTGTCAGAGGTTAAATGAAGAAGGAATCCTCCAAAGTTGTATTGGTATTATATTATACAAAGGGTGTACACTGAGACAGACGCACCTTATGTTTTCTTTGGTCTACTTTGCTTTCAAAGTGGATGGCCAATGTAGTATAACTACCACTTATTTTTTTGGAGGGGCATTAGGGGAAGGAAAAATGTGAGACGTGTTTCTATCCAGGAAGTGTTCCAGGCTGGAATAGTATTGCCATTTAATTGCTGAGGAAACTTGGAAGGTACCATGAAAGCCCAAATAGATTTAACCAAATAAATTTTGCTTTGGTGGTGGGTCCCTTATAACCCTCAAAAATGACATGTGCTGAAGAGTTCAGTTTGAGTCCCGTGGAGCATCTGGGTCAGCCCAGAGCCCTGGGATGATCAGAGGGAACTCTCTTCCTGATTCCTTTGCTGATTTGCAGGTAGGCTTCCAGCAGGTCCTTTACCTTTGACCTTATTTTCTACAGTTGCTCATGACATGTAAGATTATCTCACTGCAGTCTTACAAAGTCACTGTGAGGTTAACTTCAAACATTTAAAACAAAGACTTTCTTAAAAGATCTACATAGATATAAGAAGAATGCAGTTATTACTGAAAGCGGACTCTTCCAGGAGCTCCAGGCCAAGAGGTAGCGCTGGTGAGGAGAGGACACCTAGGGAACGGCGCGGTTCTGTGTCAGGTGGCTACTCTTCCCAGCAAAGGACCTTCTTGTCATGACATTTGCACTAGATTGTCTATAGATAAGGGTCAAATATGGTTCATGACCCAGATAACTTAACTCCAGGTATCTCTTTGTATAAACTGAGCCCATTTTTATAGCCTGGACCAGGGAGGGTGGTGCACCATTATTGAAACCCACGCACACTTTGATTAGAAAAGCAAGTTACATTTAGGAAATTATCCCTCCAGTAGTAATTTCAGTCAAAAGGAGCCAGTGCAAAAATGGCTCAGCAGAGCCGTGTGGATGTTTCTGCTCTTCATGTCCACTACTGTGTGATTGCCTTCTTGGACCCAGCTTCCTCATTGCATTTATGAACACTAGAACTCCATATATTTTAAGAGCTGCTTAAAAAATAAATGTGTTGTGGGCCATCTGAGGTGATAGTGTTTAATTCACAGAGCGAATGAGTCAGGCTCTGGCTCTCCCTGGAGAGGCTACCCCCTATAGCTCTGTTTCATGCAGATGCTGGTAGGAAATGAGATTTATTAACTGGCCCTCTGCCCACTGCATCTTTGTTTGCATACTCCAGTCTTTTAAGAATGAATGTATAAGTCCAGGGGACTATTTCCGCATGGGTGTTTGAACATGCAACTACAGTAGCATATGTTTCTGAATACTAAAAACAAACAAACAAAACAAAACCCCAAACCAACTTGGCCCCAGGAAAAGGACTGTAAAGAAAGGCAAAACTAAAACTTAAGCCTAAGACATTGGCTCTCCCACCCAACTTGGCCGGTTTTGAAAAAAGAACTCTTAAGAAAAACAAATATTGTGTGTGTATAAAAGACAGTTGTGAAAGCATGTTCCATTTAACAGAGGCTGTTGTAAGGTGGCTCACTTTGACCAGAATGTAGATTTCAGATCCTTGCCCCCCAGGTCAGCAGCTGCAGACAGCGGGAGTCTAGCTTCACTTGTCTGTTACGTACATATTAGCATTATCTAGGTTTGCTGCTGTCATAGGAAGTTTCCAGAAATAATGATTTCTGTCCTTAATATTTCTCTTTGTATTTGTAAAAATCAAAGGTTTACCTGATGCTTATTAGGTGTCTAATTTTTAACTTCTGAGGGTCCTTTGTCAGAAGTTCTGTTAAGGGGTTGGTCTTCTGGGCACATGTGCTAAGATGCTCACCCCTACTCAGCAGTGATTGTCACTGATTGTGTCTTTACAGTGGGTTATCTTAGCAGAACAGTGGCTTGAGATGGTCCTCTGAATTTAGGAGGCTGATTTGCATATGCCCAATCGTTTCTGTATTGATAGGGACTCCTTGAAGCTTGCAGTGAGTAATTCCGTAGATTAATGGAGGGGGAAATATTGGGGCTAATCTAAAATATTCCATTTGGTTTAGAGAATTTGACACATTTTTGAAAGCATACTCTAGCCAAGGTCTGTTCTAGATGCCCCATGAGGACCTTGAGTTCCAGCGAGGTCAGATGTATAAGCAACTCCTTTTATAACGATTTACCTTGTTGTATTTGGCTTGGTCTACTAGCAAAAGTGGTTTGCATTTCCTCAGTCCACAGTGGCTCAAAGAAGAAAAAGGTGCCCTCAAAGCCAGTATGCTATAGGAAGCTAAATAATGTGGAAGACCAAAAATTTTGGTGAAAAGAGTATAGGCTTTAGAATCACAATTTTCACTGGCCTGGTAAGATGCATGTTGGGCAGCAGTGGAAAATAAAGCAGGGACATTGAAAGGCAGGCAGGGTGGTCAGAACTTGAAAATTGAAGGCCATTGAAAGCTCATTAATTGAAAAACAGCATAATGAAAACAGAAATGTATTGCTGGAATTTATCTCCTGTTTCAAAATGGGAATTGATAGGAAAATGAGAGTCCTCCAGTGCCCCACCCTAGAAGGCCAGAATTAGTAGAGAATACTTGATTTGCCGTGAGAGAATTCTCCAGCCTGACCATAGAGATCTAGGTATATGTTCCTGGCTTGAGTCTTCTCTCCCTGAGTGGAAGCAATCAATGCCGCTTCACCCCATAACAGGACTGGCTCTTAGGTCAGCCGGTGGCTTTTGTATTTATTTGCAGGAGCCCACTTCATAGTTAGCTACAGAACTTCAGGAGGTGGCTAGTGAATAGAGCTTACAATCTCCCAATCCTTCCAAACTCAGAAGCAGGGTGTATGATTCTTCATTGTGAAGGATCCTTCTGAGTCATTTAATGCCTAAAATGTACAGACGTAACTCTGACGAAGCTTCCTGG